TGCTTGATTTCTCTATTTGACACTTCCACTTGTCCACTTGTTTGTGGATGATATGGAGTAGCAACCTTGTGCTTCACACCATATTTCATTAATATTGCTTCAAGATATTTGTTGCAAAAGTGAGAACCTCCATCACTTATCAGAAATCTGGGTACTCCAAATCTTGCAAAAATGTTCTTTCTTATAAAAGATATCACTAACTTGACATCATTTGATCTTGTGGGAATGGCTTCCACCCATTTGGAAACATAATCTACTGCCACTAAAATGTATTCATGCGAAAATGATGGGGGAAAAGGTCCCATGAAGTCAGTCCCCCATACATCAAATAGCTCCACTTCTAAAATGTTTGTCAATGGCAGCTCATGCCTCCTAGAGATGTTGCCTGTTCTTTGACATTTATCACAGCTTTCAACATACTTCTTAGCATTCTTGAAGAGTGTAGGCTAAAAGAAACTTGCTTGCAGTACTTTTGCAGCAGTCCTTGAACTTGTATGGTGGCCTCCATATTCTGAGTTGTAGCAATGCCATAATACCTCAGATTGTTCATTTTGTGGAATGCACCTCCTAATTAGACCATCTACCCCAATCTTGAACAAATAAGGGTCTTCCCACACATAGAATTTGTTGTCATGTAAGAACTTCTTCTTTTGCTGCCAAGTGAACCTCTTGGGGATGAATTGGATAGCTTTAAAGTTTGCAATGTCAGCAAACCAAGGCATCTCTTCTACTGCAAGAAGCCTATCATCTGGAAATTGTTCATTAATTTCCAAGGAGTTAGGGGTTAGACTTTCCAATGGAAGTTTGGACAGGTGGCCAACACCCCATTTTCCTTTCCCTTTTTATCTCTAATTTCCAATTCAAATTCTTGCAGCAATAGAATCCATCTCAGCAATCTTGGCTTGGCATCCTGCTTTGACAACAAGTATTTAAGTGCAGAATGGTCAGTATACAAAATAATTTTTGATCCCATCAAATATGATCTGAATTTGTCAAAAGCAAACACAATAGCTAGGAGTTTTTTTTTCTGTGGTTATGTAATTTACTTGTGCAGGATTTAAAACTTTGCTGGAATAATAAATGACATGCAATTTCCTATCATTTTTCTGTCCTAAAATAGCACTCACTGCACTAACACTTGCATCACAGATTAGTTCAAAAGATAAATTCCAATCAGGTTTTGCAAGAATAGGTGCAGAAATCAGTTTTTCTTTCAAAACAGAAAATGCATGCAAACAAGCATCATCAAATATGAAATCAGCATCTTTTACAAGTAAATCACTAAGAGGTTTTGCAATTTTTGAAAAGTCCTTAATAAACCTCCTATAAAAACCAGCATGTCCTAAAAAACTCCTAATTCCTTTAACATTAATTGGTGGAGGTAGTTTACTAATGACTTCTACTTTTGCTTGGTCCACCTCCATTCCTTTTTCTGAAAACTTATAGCCAAGAATGTAACAGCTGGACAACTTATTTGGGACTGACGACTATCCCCACAAACCAACACGAGACTTTTTAATGTGCTTTGTCTTCACTCACACACTTCTCGGGAACTTCCCAGAAGGTCACCCATCCCATAATTGCTCTAAACTTTGGAGTTCTTAAGTGATAGGCCACCGAAAAATAAATGCATTTTGTTGGTATAGGTAGTTCTAATCAATTCCTTTAAGCTATCCTTAACTGTATACACAGTCTCTGGATCCCCCTCTCATTCTGATGTAAGTCTTGTGTTGGTTTGTGGAGACAGTTGTGGACGAACCATGCGGAAGTTGGTAGGCATATGACACCCAGGCACTAGGCGAGGGCGGGGAGTGATCACCGGTGCAATATGGCATGGACATGGAGCGACTACCTGGCAGGCTTCTGGCGGTAAGGGGCACATGAATGAATCAACCCATCCCATAATTGCTCCAAGTTAAGCGCGCTTAACTTTGGAGTTCTTAAGTGATAGGCCACCAAAAAATAAATGCATTTTGTTGGTATAGGTAGTTCTAATCAATTCCTTTAAGCTATCCTTAACTGTATATACAGTCTCTGGATCCTCCTCTCATTCTGATGTAAGTTCAATTAATTCATATGCCCCTTACTGCTAGAAGCCTGCCAGGTAGCTGCTCCTTGTCCGTGCCACATTGCACCGGCGATCACTCCCTGCCCTCGCCTATCGCCTGGGTGTCACAAAGAACAATGCCTTCTTGGACCATGAAATGACATTTCTCCCAATTTAACACAAGGTTAGTATCTTGACATCTCTGCAAACCAGTGGATAGATTAGCTAAGTAATCATCAAATGAATCACCAAATACAGAGAAATCATCCATGAACACCTCTATAATTTTCTCTACCAAATCAGAAAAAATGGAAAGCATGCACCTTTGAAAAGTGGCAGGAGCATTGCATAATCCAAAAGTCATTCTTTTATATGCAAAGACTCCAAATGGACATGTAAATGCAGTCTTCTCTTGATCCATAGGGTCCACTGCTATTTGGTTGTATCCTGAATACCCATCAAGAAAACAGTAGAAGGAATGTCCAGCAAGTCTTTCTAGCATTTGATCAGCAAATGGTAATGGAAAATGGTCCTTTCTAGTTACATCATTTAACTTCCTATAGTCAATACACATGCGCCAACCAGTGACAATCCTAGTAGGTATGAGTTCATTCTTCTCATTAGGTACCACTGTCATCCCTCCTTTCTTAGGGACAACTTGGACTGGACTCACTCATTGGCTATCAAAAATTAGATAAATGATCCCTGCATCTAGCAACTTCATGACTTCTTTCTTGACTACTTCTTTCATGGCTGGGTTCAATCTTCTTTGTGGCTGCACAACTAGCTTAAACTTCTCTTAAATAAAATGTTGTGTTTACAAAAAGGATTTATACCTTTCAAGTCTGAAATACTCCAGCCAATTGTAGATTTGTGTTTTCTCATAATTCTCAACAGTTTTTCCTCTTCTTCCTCCTTGAGATCATTGTTGATGATAATTGGATTTCCGTTACTCTCATCCAAGAAAGCATATCTCAAGTTAGAGGGTAGTTGCTTGAGCTCTAACTTTTGATTTTGATCTTCTTTGATTTCCTTGTTTAGCTCTTCTTTAACTTATTTTTCTGCAGGATTCAGAATTGGTAGGGCTTCTAGTTGCTGCTCAATTTCCATTAGTTGTTCTGTTTTACAAATCTCAGAATATGTATTTCCTGCAGTTATGGTTTCTCTCAACACAGAATTTTCATCAAATTCATTAATAGGATAATGTGTAATAATAGAATCTAAAATATCTACTCTCATACATGAATTATCTTCAATTGGATATTTTAATGCTTCAAACACATTAAACACTACCTTCTCATCTTGAACTCGAAGCATAAGTTCTCCTTTCTGCACATCTATTAAAGCTCTCCCTGTTGCAAGGAATGACCTTCCTAGGATCAAAGGTATGTTTGCATCCACCTCCACGTCTAGAATTACAAAATCTGCAGGAAAATTGAACCTATCAACTTTAACCAATAAATCTTCAACAACTCCATATGGATAAGTGCATGATCTATCAGCTAGTTGCAGTGTGATGTTGGTAGGTTTCACTTCTTCTATGCCTAGTTTGTTCATGATAGCTAAAGGCATCAAGTTAATGCTTGCTCCCAAGTCACACAATGTTCTTCCAACAGTGCACTGTCTTATTTCACATGGAATGCTAAATGATCCTGGATCTTTTAGTTTTTAAGGAAGCTTTCTCTTAAGAATGGCACTGCATTCCTCTGCCAAAGGTACTATCTTGCCGTGCTCTAGCTTTCTTTTTCTGGAGAGTAGTTCTTTTATAAATTTTGCATATGAAGGCATCTACTCCAAGGCTTCTGCAAAAGGTATGTTAATCTGTAATTTCTTAAAAACATTAAGAAACCTTTCAAATTATTTTTCCTGTTTAGGATTTTGAACCCTTTGAGGATAAGGCAGCCTCTTGTATTTTTCTAGATCTATTGGCTTGCAAGCATCTTCAAAGAGTTGTTTCTTTGTCTTCCTTTCAGAATTTGTAGGAGCTTCCACTTTTTCTTCTGATTGCTCTTTCTTGAATAATATGAAGTTTCCTTGTTGTAGATCTTTTTCAATTCTCCTTCCTTCTGTGGCATCATTAACTTTCTTTTCTGCAGCTTTTGGACTTGCAACTATAGTTCCACTCCTTGTAGTGATGGCTTGACATTGCTCCTTAGGATTTATTACTGTGTTACTTGGAAATCTGCCCTCATCTCTGTTGGACAACTGCTCAGCTAGCTGTCCAATATGGGTTTCCAGTTTCTTCATAGATGCTTCTTAGTTTTTGAAGCTTGTTTGGGTCATCTTCATAAACTGCAGCATGGTTTCCTCCATCTCAGTCAACCTTGCATTCATAGGTTTGGAAAATTTCTGAGTTCCTTGAGGTTGAGTGGATGGATTCCTCTGAAAATAAGACTGTTGTGCTGCTGGACCTGTATTAGAAAAAGGTAAATTGGAGTTAGAAGTCTTGGCAGCAGAATATTGATTATTCCAATTAGAATACTACTGACTTTTATTATTCAAAAATTGAAATCCAAGAGGATATGAGGGTTGTTGTCTCTAAAAATTGTTCATATAATTCATTTGTTCCTATGGTTCACTTGTAGATGCCTCACATGCACCATTGGCATGACTTCCTCCACAGAAATCACAGTTTAGCTGACTGGTAGGCATACTCCCTACTTGAAGATAGCTGATTTGTTGAGTTAGGGCAGCTATTTGTTCTAAAAACATCTGATTTTGTAGCTGGTTTTGTGCAAGAAAGGTTTCTAAAACCTTAGCTTCATAACCAAAGTTTCTTCCTTGATTTCTTGAGTTTGAATTCTGGTACATTGATGATGCCATCATTTCAATGATTCTCTGGGCTTCTTCTAAAGATTTTGTATTTAAGGAACCTCCAGCAACAACATCAACCATTGTTCTTGTTGATGTATTCATTCCATTATAGAAGGTTTCCAATTGCATCCAGTCTGGAATACAATGATGTGGACACCTCATTAGCAACTCCTTGTATCTTTCCCAAGCTTCATACAATGACTCTCCTTTCCACTGCACAAAAGATGTAATTTCTCCTCTTAGCTTGGCAGCTTTGGATGGAGGAAAATACTTGGTTAGAAATTTATTCACTAGCTCTATCCAAGTTGTGATGCTTCCTTGTGGTTGAGCTTGCAACCAGCATTTGGCTCTATCTCTCAAGGAAAGGGAAATAATCTCAGTCTGATGGCTTCTTCACTAACCCCATTCATTCTTATGGTATCACATAACTGCAAAAATTTTGAAATATGTAGGTTAGGGTCATCAGAATTTTCACCAGAAAATTGATCCTATTGACTAAGTGTAATAGGGCAGGTTTAATCTCAAAATGGTTAACTTGGATAGTTGGCCTAATTATAGAAGAATTAAAACCTTGCATGTTAGGAATTGCATAGTCCCCTAATGTTATAATTCTATTTTGCTCTTCCATCTCTATTTCTAGATTTGGTTGTCTCAAAGGTGTAGGTGTTCTTTTTACTCTAGGAGTATTCTGAATTTCTAGAGAATAGACAACTTTTACTTCACTATCACTTCCTATGAATTTTTCTACTCTAGCCTCTCTTCTTAATCTTCTTAAGGTTATATCTATGTCAGGATCAAAGACCAGAATTGATTTACTTTTGTCTTTACCATGCATAGACAAATCAAAATGCAACAAAATTAAACTACAACTCGATATTTAGAAATGCACAATAAAGATTATGCAAAAGATATCAACAAAAGCATATAAAAATCAAGTCTAGCAACTGCAGAATTATGCAGAAAAGAAAATCATGCAAAAAAATTTAAAAGTAAAACAACAAAAATAAATGCTCAATCTAGCTACCTCTCTGCTACTAATAATATTGAAACATAAATTCCCCGGCAACGGCGTCAAAAACTTGTTGTTTACAATTCTGAACACTAGCAAGTGCACTAGGAATTACAGCAAGTAATGAGTATCGTCTCCACAGGGAATTAGGAAATCAATTATCACTTCACAAAACTATAACCATTTGAGCCATATGAATTTGGAAGATTTATAACATTCAGAAGTCAAGAACAGGCACGATTAAAAAGTAAGAAACTTGCAGTAAAAACAAAGTATGAAGGTTGTGATGAAATGAGATAGGAATAAAGAATAGTTAGGAATTTATTTCACAAGAATGTCAATATCAATTCAATCATGCCTCTGAATATTCAAGTAATTGGTTAATTGCCAATCAGTTTCTCTTATTAATAGTCAAAGTTTAATTCCTTAAATCATTGACTCTAACAAGCAACTAAACCCCCTTAATCCCTTAGGTGAAGTTCAATTTCAAGTTGCATTAAGACTTAGAACCGTAGGATTGCAGTATTAGGTCTCCTTATCCCTAAGAAATCCCCAATTCTGATTGCTAACTCAGATCAGAAAAGCAAATCCAACTTCTATTGGTAAATGTTCCTCTTTGATTAAACATATGAATTTCCATTCACAAAGTGCAATAACAGCAGAATTAACAATTCAATTAATCCAAAAACTCAAATTTTAGAAGCAAATATCGAATCAATACATCAATTCAAGTTCCATAAACTCCTAACTATGGAGAATTAAGCAAACATTGTAACAGAGAAAGAGAAAGAAGGAGAAGAATTGCAGAGAAGCCATCTCCACAAGCTCCAATCCAATGCCTCTTCTTGGAGCTTTGAAATTTGACCCTAATCATCTCTCTCACTCTCTCTCACTCTCTCTCAACGAGAATCTAACAAAAAAAATGAAAAATGAACAAAAAGCCCCGAGTTCTGAGCTTAAAACATGTATTTATAGAAATTCTGATTCTGTGCGTTATCACTCTTGCTGATAAGAGTAGCCACGCAGAAGCTCATGTGGTTTTTGGAAACTGGAACTATCACTTTCGCTGCTAAGAGTTGCAACGCAGGAGGTCGAGTAGTTGCGCGTGATCACTTTCAAGAGCAAGAGTGACCACGCACAACTTGCCTTGATTCACTCCGCTCTGGAACATCCACTTTCACTGGTAAGATTGTTAACGCAGAGCTCGCTGAAATTTTTCCTTCTCTGGAACACTCACTTTCGCCAGCAAGAGTGTTAACGCAGAGCTTGTTCTTCTGAGTAACTCTCTGGAACGCTCACTTTTGCTAGTAAGAGTGACTACGCCCAGACTCTTTTATTCTTTTAAGCTATGGAACGATCACTTTCACTGGGAAAAATGTTAACGCCCAATGTGTATTCCTTTTTAATGTCTGGAGTGATCACTTTCACTAACAATAGTGATCACGCCCAGCTTGCATTCCATTGTTCTTGTATTTTGGAGTCCAGAATTGCTATTCTTTCTCTTCTTTTCCATTGATCTTCCATTTCCATGACTTTTGCTTAGATTATTCCTACAAAAACAAGATTAATTTCTTAAGATCTAAGTAGAAATTCCACAAATGCTAAAATAACTACATAATAAAAGAAAACTTTCAATCATTCTATTTTTCTGAATTTTTCTGCTTTTCTTATATATTTTCCTTATCAAATGAGTTAGAAATACACTAAAATATTAGTAAAAATATGGATTCATCAGGGGGACTCTACCCTATCTCAATGTATTGTAATTCTTGTGTGTTTTGTTGATTAATGCAATGTAACTGAGATAGGGAGTAGAAATTGTGTTTGATGGAAATTGGTGTGCAATGTGATGTGTGCTGGAATAGTTAGGCCCCGTGGGAGAAATTGTGTATGATGGAATGCCATTGATTGGTAAATTAATGATATTGTGAATAAATGAAGGCTATGTGTCGTATATTGTGGATAAAATGTGGGTTATGTGTCGTGTAATGTGAATTCAATGTAGGTTGTGTGTCGTGTGCAAGTATGAATATTGCGTGTGTGAATGAAATGTATGTGAATAGGGCGTGTTAGCGCCGTTGTAATGTGATATGAATGATTTAACTATACACTAAGGGTGTGGAAGATGAGGACGGTAGAAATACCTTGGGGAGGAGAGAGTGGTGGTAACACCGACTGTGGGACGGGTGCACCACGGGTCACACACTCTCTTCCTGACTAGACCTCTGACCACTACCTTTGCTGAGCGACCCGCGACTGCCCACGTGGTATCGGTGAGGCGGGGGTAACTGGCGACCATTCATGGTGTGAAGCTGTGATCACAGTGTCACAATGAGCGTGGCTGGCATGCGCATGCATGGGATTGTTGTCATTATTTGTATTTATGAATGTGACATGTTGTGGATGTCGTAAGTGCATCGGTGTTGCACTGGAATGAACTGTGTGATGATACTGTCTGCGAATCTGTCTATGTAATGTGTTAAAATGATTTGGAGGTGAGGCTCTATAGTTATTTGTGTGTTTTGAGTAGTGTAGAGTACTCACTCTTACATTCATTTTCAGATAATCAAGACGATCAGCACCGGGCTCAGTGAAGGAACGGACGGATGGACTGCTATAGGACTTAGATTTTATTTTAAAAAATGTTATAATTGAACTAGTCCTGTAGCAGTTATTTGATATTAATTTGTAACCCTTCTCTTATTTCAAAATATCTTATGAAAATTTAGTTATTCGAATTTGTTAAATTATTATTTAATTGAAATTAAAATTCAAGTGTTACACAACCTACAACAATGCAGTTATCTCGGTCACTAACTAAATCAACTATTTAAGCACCTTCTTGGCAAACAACACAATCCATATAGGTGAAATGACATATTAAACACCAAAAATAATGAAAATTCTAGTAAGAAGTATACTAAACAAGGATCCTTGAAGCAGGGTTTAGGGGAAGAAGAATGGGTAAATAGGTGATTATGTAGGTAGAGTAAACAACAACACAAGCAAGACTAGAATATAATAAAAGAACATTGAATAATAGAATAGAATAGAAGTACAAAAACTATCTATAGGTGATTATGTACACTCGTAGTTTAGACTAAAGAACAACACAAGCAAACTCCATGTGTTAAAAGAACATTGAATAATATAATAGAACAAAATTACGAAACCTATTTATGGGTGATTATGTAGGCACGTAGTATAGAGTAAACAACAATACAAGCAAGACTAAAATATGGTAAAAGAACATTGAATAATATAATAGAACAGAAGTACAAAATATATTAATAGGTGATTATGTACGCTCATAGTTTAAACTAAAGAAAAACACAAGCAAACTCCATATGTTAAAAGAACATTGAATAATAGAATAGAGTAGAAGTATGAAACCTGTTTATGGATGATTATGTAGGCACGTCATGTAGACTAAATAACAACACAAGCAGACTCCCAACAATACGTTAAAAGAATATTGAATAATAAAATAGAATAGAAGTACAAAACATATTTATGATTGATTATGTAGACATGTAGTATAAACTAAGCGACAAAACAAGCATACTCTCAACAAAATAGAGTCATTAAGAACAACATTTCTAACAAAGCATTGAATGATGATTGACATACAATAAGTCTACTATAACATTTATGCTAAAAATTGCTATCATAGGCCTCCACCTATTATAATGGTTCTAAATAAAAATGTTGTTGATAACAGTATAAAGTTTTAAATAAAATTATTATAATAAGTAGTTAATATTTTTTTTTTAAACAAGGGACATCAACGTAGCTATTATAGTGGTTCTATGTAACACTGTATAATAAACCTTTTAATTATAATAATTTTGTTTAAAACTACTATAATAAGAGGCCAAAATTTTTTAAAAAAATTTTTAACAAGTTGAAAAACTAAGAATCATTTTTCAGCTATATATGTAAAAATCATTATATAAAAAAAAAAAAACTTCTCTTATTATAGCAGTTAATTATTAAATATTATAATAAATCTTTTTATGTAACTTATTATAGTGTATGAAAAAAGAATAACTAAATTTTAACTGTAGTCATGTTAACTATTCAGAAGAGTTTTATTGCTTATAGTGATTTTATCCAATTCAGATAAAGATTATTTTTAAAAGAAGATATTTGTGGTTTAAAAAAAATAAAAAAACCAATAAAACAACTATAAATAAAAATGTTATAAAAAATTATATTTAGCATAATAAATGTAAAC